TATCATGTTTATAATTGTTCTTTTGGGCTCCATGTCCTGCATTATGTCTAGGGGGTTCTCACTGTACTCCTTTAGAGGACTATTGGTATTTGGTGGGGATATGTTATTTTCGTTTTTCATGTTATTATTTTTTCTCTGTGATTTTGGCATGTGAATTTCTTTTGTAGTTTCTGATTCTTGTGTGAGACTCAGGCTTTCAAGTTTAGGTCTGCTTCTTTTTGTGAACTTTATGTGTCTTTGTGGTTTACTTTTTGGGCATGAAAAGCTGGTTCCTCTAAGCCTCTGGTTCTCTCTTTTGATTTTATTTTGGAGTAGCCAGTTTGCTTTTGTCTTTAGGAGTTCCCACAGAGGCCCAAATCAGATGAGGATCAGATGCTCTCAGGCTTTCTCCTAAGGTCTGGATCCCTCCAGGAAAGATGTTTTCCTCAGGAATTTGGGGGTTGGACTGGCCTTGGAGCTGGGCCCAGGAAGGATGCTGGTGTAGGGTAGCTGTTGGCCATGCCACCCAGAGATGCAAATGGAGGTGGGGGTGGCAAATGGACCCAAGGTCTCCTGGAGACTACAGAGAGGAACTGGGTTAGTGTGGATGCAAAAGATCAGGAATTAGTGGTGGTTCCCCTGGTGTCTGGGGTGCCAAGACAAGGAATAGGACAGTCCCCAGGCTAGGAGGTGGGAGTTAGGGGACTGGTCGACAACACACAGGAGTATGAATGAGGCTGGGGGAGAAGGTGTGAAGGTCGTGATGGACTTACTCATGGAGAGAGGCTGGTAGGTTGTGCAGGCCCAGGGCTTAAGAGCATATTCACATAATCTTAATTTAAAATGTATTTATAGAAGATAATGTAAGAATAATAATTAAGATTAAATAAAGTACTAGTGTTTTAATTATGGATATAGAATTGTGCTTTATGATTTTTGTAACTTGAGATGCCTCTTATTTTTAGAGAAAAGCAAACACATTATTGGACACTTCTCTATATACTTAGACAAAGTTCTCAGTTATTTGAAAAGTTAATGTTGGTATCTGAATTTTAACACTTTTAACTTTATTTATTTATTTATTTATTTATTTATTTATTTACTCTTTTTGAGACAGGGAATCCCCACAGCCCCAGCTGGCCTGGAACTCACTTATTTATTTATTTATTTATTTATTTATTTATTTATTTATTTATTTATTTAATGTGTATGTATGCCATTGTGCATGTGCCACAGTGAGTTATTGGAGATCAGGGACAACTTCTGTGAGTTTTCTCCTTCTACTTTGTGGTGCTTTGGGGATTGAACTCTGGTAATCAGGCTTGAGAGCAAGCACCTTTGCCCACTGAGCCATCTCACTGTCCACTGATGTTATGCTAATTACTCATCAAGTCATCAAATGAATGCTTGATAATATTCCTTTAAAAACCTGAAAATAATTATGGTAAACTTGTTTGTTTTAAAACCAACCACACGAAGCATTCTTACTAGCTTTAAAGAGTCAATTTGTAAGAATAGACAAATGTATTCAAAACTACTGTTTTAAAATATAAGGCTTGGGATAAAAAAATCCCAAAATATGTAAATGTGGTAAAGTACACAATGGTTTTTAGGTGATCAATGAGTATTCATTTAAAGTTCTTCACGAAATAGTGCTCTGAGAGTGTTTTGTGACACAGGCATGTAGGTCAGGCAAGACTTACTTGGTTTACTTAACCTATCTAAATACCCTATTCTTTCTTTAGAATTCTTTTTTTTAAAATTAAGGTACAGATTGAACAGCATAAATAAAAGAACTTTAGGCCATGATGGCTCGATACTAAATAATAACAGTTATAAGCAGCAGCTTCTCTTAGGACCAAAATCAGCTCTGTTCATAGGACTGCATGCCAAACATTTGCAGCTAAAGTTGTTAAAAGGCTCAAGACTGCATTCTGCTTATCTGGGAGTGTTCTCATGTGGGCAGCTGAGAAGCTTCAAATTGTGTAGAGATGAGTAAGCTTCCAATGGGCAGCATTAGCTATTGTGCTTTATGCTCCTTTGCAAAAATACATGATAACTAGGATTGCTTTCATTCAGTCAGCCACTCTAAACTCTCTCCTCTGTTTTTGCTGAACCCCCACCCACCCCCGCCAAATGGTTTAATCACGAGTCCAAAGTTCATAGAAGCCCAAAATTAGTGTAGTTTCCTTGACTATTTTGGCTTTCTAAAGCTTGTAACTCTAAACAATAACCAAGCCTTTTATCTCCCAAAGAAAATGTGTTTTCCTGTGAGCTAAGTAAAAATTGGTTGATCTTCTTTGTTCATGGCAAGAATTCTGACTTAGAATTTCTGGTGTGAATTCATTATTGAAGAACAAAATGCTATATAAGGAGAAGTATTTCTTTCTCTTTTGCTTGCTTTAAAAAATTCCTTTTCATTTTGTCACCGTTATTTTTATTCTGTACTTTATATATTTTCAAACAATTTCCATATAGCATTCATGTCTATTTATTAACTCTAGTTAATTACTTTATTTATTTATTTGGTTTTTTGAGACAGGGTCTTCTTTTAGCCTCAGCTAGTCTGGAACTCACTATGTAGACCAGGTTGGCCTTGCTCTCACAGAGATCTGTCTACTTCTGCCTCCCAAGTGTTGGGATTAAAGGTGTGCACCACCACCCTGGGCTCTCTAATTAATTCTTCTACATATTAAAATTTCTTTAAATTGTTGAAAGAATAGTTTTTATTCCAAATAATTAATATGAAGTTTTAGGGTATTCCTCTTAACCACATTATCAACCACATTCCTCTTAACTACATTATCTAATTAAAGCCATATTTCTCTGAAATCTGAAATTCAGATTTGAATTATAGTATTTTATTTTACTATAAAAATAACCTCCTTACTAAACTTGAATGCGAGAAATTCATTATGTATTTTACTGTTTGAATTTTTTAGATTTATTTTTTATTTTATGTGTATGTTTGCCTTTATGTGTGTGGGTATACCATGTGTGTGCAGTGCATGTGGAGGCCAGAAGATGGCATTGAATCTCCTGGAACTGGAGTTGTACATGGTTGTTAGCCATCATGTGGGTGCTGAGACCCAAATTTGGGTCCTCTGCAAGAACAACTAGTTCTTCTAACCATGAAACCATCTCTCCAGCCCCCTTTACTATATTTACAATATATGAAATATAGTTTAAGGAAAATATCACCATTTGTTTGTTTGCTTATTGATTGATTGATTCATTGAGACAAAGCCCCAATGTATAGTCCAGGCTATCCTGAAATCTCCTTCTTCCTTAGCTTCCTGTGTCCTGGTATTACAGGTAGATGCCCCCTTGCCCAGCTTAGAAAATATCACCTAATATTCTTTAAAATTTTTTTGATTGATTTATTTTTATTTTATGTCTATGAGTGTTTTGTCTGCATGTGTGTAAATGACCCATGTCTTGCAAAGCTTGCCAGGCCAGAAGAGGGCATTGGATCCCCTGGAGTTGGAGTTATGGATAGTTGTTAGCCACCATGTAGGTGCTGGGAATGAAACCTAGATCTTCTGCAAGAGAAGCCAGTTCTCTTAAACACTGAACCATCTCTCCAGCCCCCTAGCTAATGTTTAATACACAATGTACAGTTATATACCATATAATATATATTTTCCTCAAAAGTCTTTCAATCTTAATTTCCTATTTTAATATAATATACATATCATCCTCTGCACCTGTCTTTCCAGTTCATCAATACTCTGCTTCTCTTTTGGGGGATAATGTTCAGACACTGGAGTAGATGTGAGGAGTGTGTAGGGATTAGGATCTTCTTTGTTTCCATTCCGTGTGTATATTTTGAAACAAGGTCTCATTTATACGGCCTCAAACTTGCTATGTAGCTGAGAATGATCTTGAACTTCTGATCTTCCTGCTTTGCTTTTGCCTTCTGAGTGCTGGGATTACAAGTGTGTGCCGACATACCGGTTTATTTGATGCTGAGGATGAAACCCAGGACTTTGTACATGCTAGGTAAGCACTCCATCAACCGAGCTACATCCCCATCCCGTAAGTGCTTCTTAAACACCTTCCACCTAGTTCTCCTTATAGTAGCCCCACCTTTAACCCCTGGTGCAGAGTGCCTGATGCTGTTAATTTTCATGCCCTTTCAAGATTCTAGAAGGTAAATTCAACTGTATTTTTATTTTCCCAATTGCTACTTTGAGCTTTAATTTTCCCAAGTTTTTAAATCAGTTCCTATTCATTTGCTTTCTAGCTTTCAAAACTTTAACTTTTCTAGAACAAATTCTTAAAACTAATCTTTGAGTAAAAATGAATCTCATAAGCTCTGATAAGAGCTTACTTTATTTTTAATCCCTCTGATGATAAACTTATGATTTGTTGTGGGGGTTGCAATCTTTAGTACCTATAGGGGCCAGTCAGAATTCTCTGGATAATTCAGGCTTAGAGATAACTAAGTTTGGGAGAATCCCAGGTGTCCCATACTGGACACAGTAGGAGGAGGACACTTGCTCTAGGTCAGTGGGCAGCATGGCTGTTTGAGTCTGTGTAAGGCAGAATGCCTGTGACAGTCCTCATCACCCAACCCTACTGCTTTTTCTGGGTTTGAACTGTAAGGGGAAAGATTCAGAAGTTCCTTTGTGTCACTGGTGAAGGAAGTAGGTGAAAGGCATTGCTGTGGGGCTACCTTGGGTGACAGGCAAGGTAACTCCCAGCAGAACTTACATGGCAGACTGCCTGGGCCAGGGGCTAGAGTTTGTGTCTGAGATGCAAAGGATCCAAGACTTCTTGGAAGACTGAGATAGTGTCTTTGGGGTTACAGATGAAGCAAGGTTATGGCCTGGCCTGAACTATGTCAAGAAAGCATCAGTGTGCCAGCACGGATTTCTGCAGCAGGCACAGGCAGGTTCCCAGCAGGCAGCACCTGCCTACTTCAAGAAATCCGTTCATAGGGATGTTACCTTGGAATGGAGAGGAGGACAGCACTAAGTCACTGCATACAGGGAAACAGTCCTGATGGAGCCTGAACATCCAATTTGAGTGAATGTTTATGTAAAAGAGACATTTCAATCCAAAGAGACCATGTCAAAGCAAAATAAACCTATAATGGGAAAGGGATTGAATTACCTTTAATAGAAAATTTCAATGCTCCTCACTTCGGCAGAAATTTGGGACTCATAAGGAATTGTGAGGGCACTGAGGAGATAATTCAGTCAGCAAAGTACTTGCCTATCAAGGATGAGGACCTGACTTCAGTACCCAGCAGCTATGTAAAATGCAATGGGTGGTGACAAGTGCTTTAATCCCAGAGTTGAGGAGGCAGAGATGTGAAGATTCCTGGGGCCTGCTGGCCAGCTAGCCTAGCCTAATCAGAGAGCCCAGGTCCAATGAGAGACTTTGTCTCATAAAACGAGGGTGGCTCCCAAAGAATGACACTTGAAGGTTGACCTTTGGCCTCCACAAGCATGTTCACATATATGAACATATATACCCCCCAAAAAAAGACTGAGCTATAAAAACTAAAGAGGACACATATTTCTTAAATATTTAAGTTGGTATATGAGGTAAGATAGAATTGGCCGTCTTGTTGAAATACTGATATATAACTAAACTCAGTGACTACTGCTTCACTATGAATCATAAACATTTCACATATTTGTGATTCTTGAGCTATCAAGTTATAGTCATTTGCATATAAAAACCAGACACTTTCTGGAAAGTTCTTCCTGACATGTGCTATAATCAGACAGACCCCCACACCTGAAGATTTTGTTAGAATACAAGATTGTTATTTGGTATTTACTACAATTGCCAAGATCAGACAATTCAGTTCCTCCCAAATATCTGGGTGTTTACACATTAGATGGTTGTACAATAAATGAACATTGTGGAGCATGACATAGAAAAATTGTTGCTTTAGATGCCATTGTTGCTATTCCCAAAGATATAAAGAGTTGCAAAACACAGCTAAATGTCTTTTTTGTCATGGGTCAGGCCTTTGCCCCCCTTTCTTGTCCTCACTACACAAACAAGGTAAATGTCTAAAAGCCTTGGCTTTAGATCTGGAGGTGGTGGTTTGTGCTCCTTCTGCCCCAAACCATCCATACCCTCCTGTGTACTTGTGCGTGCATGCGTGCGTGGGTGCATGTGTGCTCCGGTTCGCAAAGGACTTAAGCTTTGGGGTACAGAGTGACTGTGTCGTAGCCTTCTGGGGGCCTCGTGCGGGCTCTCGCGTGAGTCTCACAGTATAGCTGCCCCTCCACGAAGAAGTAGCCCTTCTGCTTGAGGTTGAGGTTACAGTCAGCGCACACGAAGCACTCCGGGTGCCGGTACTTATCCCGGGCCTTGACCACCGCACCTCTGTGGGCACAAAAGAAGCTCAAATTAAAAACTGTGGAATGCAATACGGAAAGGGAAAGGACTACACACTGAGTATCTTTCACAGTTGGGTAACCACAACGCACACCGGGCAGTTGTATGCCACAATCCGACCACATCACAGGGCTGGTTTCTCTCTGAGCTGAGATGTGAGTCATCTTCAAATTCTCAAACAAGGGGCTTAGAGAACAGCTGGCTCCTGCCTCATGTTCTTTCACCACTGAATCTTTTCAAGAGAGAGCCTTGATATACGGAAGCCAAATTGCCCTGAGACGGGATTGTGACTTTGACCAAGGCTGTGGGTTGCACAGCTGGAGCCTGTGGTGACTTTCTATCTTGAAGGTCCAGCCTCTGTTCTTTCAAGTAGGGATAGCTCTACTGAGAGAGTAGTGCCTCAACGGGGTCACAGCTTTCTTTTACTGAGGAGCAATGGCTGCTGTTGGTGACATTATGAACTGCATATGGTTTGAGGTGCCTTGGGCTGCCAAGTCACCCCCGCCCCACACTTTTTCGTTTCTACCCCACTCTACTCCTTTGATTCTCACCAAGATCCTCCCCCACCGCACTCCTGAGTAACTGGACAGATTTTTGTTTCTTCTTGTGGCAGGGGAACAGTCTAAAGGGGCGGGAGAAGTGACCACATGGGACACTTTTAAAATTATAGGATTCACTGAAAATTTGAATTAGCAAGGGTGCTATTTAAACATCGAGTTCTTGAAAACTAGAAGCTGTATTTATAGTTTGAGCCCTGAACATAGGTACACACGAGCACCACTAAGTGGACTCAGTGTATTACATATGTAATATGTATATTTATAAATATGTATATGTGTAGGAAAGAATAAGCCAAGAAATTGAGAGGAAGTAGGGGGCATGGGAGGATTTGGAGGGGGACCAGGAGGGATGGAAAAGTGCAAATACAATACCCATGCATGAATTATTCAAAAATTAAAAAAAATTATATTTTGAGCTGAGCATGGTGGCACAGGCCTTTAATCCCAGCACTTGGGAGGCAGAGGCAGGTGGATCTCTGTGAGACTGAGACCAACCTGGTCTATATAGTGAGTTCCAGGCCAGCTGGGGTTACCAGGGAGACCCTGAATTAAAAAATTATATTTTGACATTTGGACAATTAAAGCAATTGGGCATGCAAAACATTTTAATTAAGCCAATGACCACTGTGTTTGTTTCTCTGTATAGAAAAAGAAGTATGCACAAATTTTACACGAACAAAGGGAGAGTTTTAAAAATAAAAATCATGATTCTTGGAAATAGTTTTCATATATCTATTTGGGGGAAATTTTTTCTCAACGGTATTTCTGAAAAGAAAGATTGCTGACTCACATTCTAGTCAATTTGAGGTTACAACTAAGGAATGCTGGTCAAGTGTGCTAAGTGCTGTAGAGGTTCTATTTTAAGTTGAATAGAAAATTAACTTCTTCAAAATTGCCTTTTCTATGTAAAGTCTTAACAGTAGAGGAAATGGAAAGCTGTCAACAAGATTCAGAGTGAGTTCTTTGGGGAAGAGAGAGACGTACACAATGCCACTCCCACACTTGTCGCAGAGTGGCATCCTCTGGGCACTGCCAGCTCCGCCGTGGACTTTGGTAACTGGAGCCCTCACACTCCGGGTTCCAGCAGGACGGTCATCTGAAAAACAAAGTGTTTCCATTTACGGCAGGGAACAGCTGGCTCCAGTTTGCACTTTGCTTCTATTTTAAATTGTGCACTTTGACCTAAGGAAGTCTTCAGTTGCATCTGTATCATGGTTTCAAAGGGAGCAGGACCCATTGACGCAGAAGAGACTTGGATCTAAATTGTGCTGTCGTTGGTGGGAATTGTTAGAAGATGCTCAAAGGAGCAGAGTGTATCTTTCATTTTATTTTTTTTTAGAAATATAAATGCCATAAAATTTATCATTCCAACCACTTTTAAGAATGCAATTCAGTGGCAGTAAAGTCCATGTACCATGTTGGACCACCACTATCAAGATCTATTTCCTGCACTTTGTTGTCATCCCCAGATAGAGACCATATACCAACCAAACAGCAAATGCTCATTCTCTCTTCTTTGCAGCCCTGGAAACCTCTATTCCACTTTCTGTCATTATGAATTTTCTATTCCAGATGTCTCATATAAATATCATACAATATTTGTCTTTTTACATTATTTTAGAAAAACTTTAAAAATGTTTTATTATTCTTATTTTATGTGTATGAGTGTATTGTCCGCATGTGTGTAAGTGCACGCATGACATGCAATGCACACTGTCAGAAGAGGTCATCGAATTCCCCTGGAACTGGAGTTATGGATGGTTGTTAGCCTCCACATGGGTGCTGGTAATTGAACCCCAGTCCTCTGCAGGAGTAGCTAATGCTCTTAACTGCCGAGCCATCTCTCTATCTCCTACTTCTGTCTTTTTCACTGAGCATACTTTTAAGGTTCATTCAAACTGCAGTGCTGGTCAGATTGTCACTCCTTTTTAATGAGGAATAGCACTCCCACATATGTGTGTCTCACATTTTGTTTATCTACTCATCTCTCAAAGGACATTGGTTTTTTTTCCCATCTTTTGCTTTTTGAATACATGAGCACTGGTGTACAAGTACGTGATTTTGTTTCTGCTTTGAGATGCATACTTAGGCATGGACTTGCTGGTTTGTCTTTTAACCACATTTAGACGTCTGCTTAACTTTTTGAAATACCCCCACTGTTTTCTGTATTGAGAGCATCATTTTCCATTGCACCAATGATGAACAAAAGAACTTTTCCAACACTTATTTCCAAATCTTTTGGAACCCATCTTAATGGGGCATTTTACCTTTGGTGTGACTTTGAAAGGATAGTATATGTCTTTTAGGGTTCAAAAGTACAGGCTAAACTGTAAGCTAGAGGACAACAGAAGCGGGACAGAGGTCAGCTTTGCTACATACTGGTTGTATGACTTTAAACTTTCCTTTTGCCTCTTTTTCTCATTTTTCAAATGAGGCAAATAATAGTTTCTATCTTACTGACTTATTGTGAATAGTAAATGATAATACATGCAAGGTATTTTGCACAAAATGAAGAACATAGTAAATTTCATGATCTTTTTTTGCCTTGATGTTAATGATACTCTAAAGGGTTGGGGGAGGCTGAGGAATCTTATAGTAGCTATTAAAAACTAGATCTTACAAATCATAAGCTACACTAGCCCTTATATCCTATGGATAGAATTTGTCTTTTATGCCTTTTTATGAGTGGTTTCATTTTATGGCTGCTTGGATATGTCCTGAAAGCTCTTTCTCAAAATGAAGCACCACCTAAATCCTAAGCAGATTCGCTTGATGACTGCCTAAATTAGCCCCCAGGCTTTCATCCCTAGCATGCTACTAAACTCTTCTCCACCCACCCAAAGGCCTTCACCAATGTGCAAGCAGATCCTAGTGGCTGCTTACCAGGCCCATCGTTCACTAGTTCCTGGAGCACCCTGAAGGAGCCTGACTGGCGGGGTTGAGTTGGCTCATCACGATTGTCATGGAGCATGCGGTACACATCTGACTGGGGTGGTACTGAAGCTGTGGGTTCACTGAAACACAAATATGATCAATGAAGCATCATCAGGAGCATTGAGAGGCAAGCATCAACCAAGAATCATCCTCTGCTTAGAGCAAGCAAATCTCTATTATGGTAAGAAATACAATGCAACTTCATGTGGGCTGCCTTAAAATGTCATTAGCAAGAACCCTGAGAGTCACCTTGACCTTCTCTATCTAGGATGGAAATCAAAAGGTGACTGCTATTTGGAGTTATAAGACTCCTGTCTGATGGCTATATAATTATAGATGTGAACAAAATTAACTTTCAGAAAAGGGACAATGTAGACACAGTAGTGAAGGAGTAAGTTCAGTGTGATTATTTTCAGTCATAAAAGTTTAAATGTTCACATTTTTCATATGAAACTATCATATAACTTGTACATTGTTGAAATTTAACCAGCAAGTGTTTCAACACACATAACACAGCAACTTTCATCAATATATGGGTTAAATTGATTATCCTATGTTTTAAGAGTCACATTAAAATTCATTTATAATAATTAAAGTAACTTTATTTAATGCTTTCTACAAATACATTCATAATGGAAAACTTTACTTACTAGGCATTAAATATGATATTACTTTATGTTATCCAATTGTATTACCTAGAAAGTTTATCTGCATATCTATATTATATTTGAAAATAATCACATATAAATTTGAAATTCTTTGAGCTTCTTTGTAAAATGACTTTGATAGTAACTCAAGGTATAAACCCCAAGATATCTTTAGGATACTGTTACACAGCACTCAAATATCATTATAATTTATATAAAGTGATTCTGCAAATTGAAAGAAATAATAAGATCTTATTCCATAATAAATCCTTTTCATTGAAAAAGCTTGGTGGTAAAGATACTCAGAACAAACATTGATAACAAAGAGGAAACTAGTCAAAATAAGACTAATGGGAATTAAATAATTTCACTAATAGCCTGAGGTATTCATGTATAAAACTTAATGCAAAGCAAACATTTAAGATGAAAAAAGTAATTCTTTTCCATACACTACCATTAGAGAAAGAAAAGGTATAATCTCATAAAAATGCTCTGACTCTCCTACCTGCTTCCCAATTTTTCACCTACAAAAGACAGACATAAGACACTTCTGAGAAGTACTAAGTCAGACATCCACAAAGTGCATCACAGCTTTCAAAAGACATACATTTGGTCCTCACGTGATTTCATTTTATTGCAATCTGCTGTGTTATCTACTTCGATAATTTTTATTACCAGACTTAAATGCTTGCAAGACATTTTTTCTTCAAAGCTTTGCACATAGCTTTCTTTCCATCAAGACAATGTTAAAAGACACCATTAAAGTTGTGTTTAGTTAATATGCCTATGGTTCAAAAAGTCTTGTATTACCTCATGGAGGGTGTTTCCCCTAGAGCTGTTGAAACCTGACCCTGAAGTGTTTCCATAATATTGTCATCTGAGTACAGCTGCATAGGTGTGTTAAACTGAGCATGTACAATCTTCACACCAGGAAGTTCCATTTCCAAAGGAATGTTAGGGGCCATCTTAGCAGCGACTTTCAAGTCACCTGGGCAAATGGTGCTAACAGTACTGACAGAAGAAGGGGTGCTACGTCCACTGCCACAGTCAATACCGGAGGGAGTGCTGCATCCACTGTGTTAATGACACGTTACACAGAGATGACACACGGAACCAGAAGAACACAGAGAACAAGTGCAGATAGGTTAAAAAGAGGTGCATTGCATCAGTCTGAAATGTAGGTAGAACTTGTTGTAAAAAGTGGCAATTGAAAAATTCATACTTGAAAACATTTCACAAAATTAAAAGATGCAGGTGATATTGCATTTGTTGGTGCAGTTCTGTCCAGTCGAGGGTTACAAGTTGAAAGACTTGCATGTAAAGTCATTAGAAATATATGACTATTCTCATTTTTTAAAAAAGGGCCACATAATTTAATACATGACCAAATCATAGGTAAATGTTGGAAGGAAGTCATGTTTGCTGGCTCTCCTTATATATCTCTGAATTTTATAGTTAAAGTATTCATGAATAAGACTTCACAAATAGTAGCAATATGTAGCATAGAGATTTAGTCAAAGGTATAGGCTGAACATCTACAAAGAATAGATGGTTCAATGATAGTTTGGGTCTTGAATGAATGGAAATTGGCAACTTGTGGGTAGGTACAAAGAAAGATTATATTTTAGAGCTATTTTATAAATAGTTTATTGTTACTATTTCCATTTTTTATATTTTTTTATTTTGTTAAGAGTACACTTTAAAAATTGTTCTCTAGAACAGGGACTAGAAGCAGTCAATAAATGCTTATCACTTTACAATTGTTGATTACAGGACAAATAGATCATCTTAGATTATTTGGATGCTACCATACTGTTAGGATAGATTTCCTTTGCACATAATGTTTCACATAAAATTTTGGACATACACATATATTTCCATGCACAAATTTATTTCCTTTTAAAGACAAGGTATAGGGATTTATTAAAACATCATAGAGGCCAGTCATTCAGATTAAGAACTAGGGATGTTTCATATTCTGTATCAAATTGATCAGTCACAACCGAGCATGCATTTTGTTAGTTTATTTATCTATTTGACACCGGGAATTGTACCTAGGGCCTCATGCATGTTAAGTCTATTACTGAGCTACATCCTCAGTCTTCTACATGCAATTTAAGTGCACATGAGATACATTTTGTGAGAAAATAGTATGTATTAAGAGAGTCTTCAAAAATGCACAGCCATTTAGAACAAAGCAAAAAGAAGTGATGGTATTAATATAAACCTCTATTATGCCTGCCCATCTATGTTATTGTAAACTTAAGGCATAGATACAGTTTAATGACAAGGTTTCCTCAAAGTCAGCAGCCTGTCACTCTCAAGTATGGGGCCCCATTTAAACATTTTTATTTATTATTATTTAAAAAAATTTTATTTGAGACTGATTGCTGCTAGGTGAAGGAGAGTATGACTTATATATGATCACAGGATGGGCTGATTAGACTCTGGTGGACAAATTTACACTGAAGGACATTTGGGTACAAACACCTGAATGAATAGGACTCAGCATGTATGGCAGAGTGCATAGGGTTTGGGTGGGGGCTTGGGGAGCATGGATGGGGGAGGGGGTCTGGATTTGAGTGGGAAATGTTGTTTGAAATTTAAAAAGCTCAATAAAATTTTTTTAAAGTTTTTGTGTAGGAGTGTATTGCCTGCATGTAAGTCACTCATATTATGTAATGCCTATGAAGGTCCGAAAAGGGCATTGGATCCCCCCTAGAACTGGAGTTATAGATGGTTGTTAGCCACCATGTGGGTGCTGGGAATCAAACTGGGGTTCAAGTGCAGCCATTGTTTTTAACTGCTGAGACAACTCTCCAGGCCTGGACCCCATTTTTGCATTTACTCTCAAGGGCCACAGGATGTTAACCACAGTTCCTCATGGACAGCAAAACTCAAAAGGATACTGAGCAGTGGCTTCTAAATATTTCACTAGTGTTGCTGCCTGGTTAGGGACGATATTGTCTTAAATATATTTAAAATTTTTCTTTTGGTCTTGTATTATATAGTTCAACTGTGTGAGAACACAGCCTAAATAATGGGCTTGCTCCTTTATTTCCTGCCTGTTGAGACTCTATTTAAAACCTAATCAGTACGTCAATTAGCTCACACACCCCAGCATCAAGTGACTTTATTCACCATTTTTGTAGGCTCAGCACTGATCTCTGAAAAGACTTTAGCTGGTAAAAGAATGGAAGCAAATTTTCTCATATAGAGCAGTTTGGTCAGGATAAAATTTATTCAACCGAAGTGTAAGTGTTCATGAACACTTGTAGTAGAGGAATTGGAGAGTGAGTTAAATCTTAAGGGCTTTGGGGTTGAATATAGTGTATCCATTCAGGAACATTAAGAACTTCTCTTACTTCCTGTTTGCCAGGCAGGGTACAAGATGCTGGATAAGGGGTTGCCAAAGTATCAACCGGAACTGACAAATATGCCTTATTTTGTAGTTGCAATTAGTAATCTTTTTCTGCTGTTACAGTTCTTGTATATTGACATACGTGTGTGAGGCTTAGTTAGGCAAGGGTTGTGTCTTTATTTCCTTCTTCCTTCTACTTAGGGGAAACAAACTGAAGCCAACAAAAATGATCTTTTATTGATTTCCAATACAATGTTGAAAGTGTTCTTGAGCTGATTTTTGTTGTTGTTGTTCTTGATTGTTTTTTGACAGGGTCTCCCTAGTCACAGCCTACCTGGAAGTCACAGTGTGAACCAGGGTGGCCTTGATCTCACAGAGATCCACCTGCCTCTGCTGCCCGAAGGCTGGGATTAAAAGCACATGCCACCACGTCGGGCTCGAGTTGATGTTTCAAATGAAAGAGTTCTCATGAACTGTGGGTACTGTAGAATATCATCGTGAGTCCTGTGACTTATTTCTGATGACCTGGGATGTAGGTGCTAAGGAGATCCCCTGACGTCAACTCCTGATGAGACAATACTACCTGTTACAGTGAGGTTCTCAATTATGTCATAACTAGGTGGGTCATTCGACCAAGAACTAAGTAACTTCCCTGGGAACGTGAGCAGACGGGGCGGGGGGGGGAGGGGATATTTCTGGATGTAACCTTAAAAGTTACCTACAGACATTTCTTTTTTATATTCAGATCTGTAAAAACCTTGTATTTATTGTTAATTATAGCTTTGGCTTTAATGTTTTATGTATTTGCATATAAAACATTGGTGTTTTAAATTGCTTCAATTATGAGGAAATAAATCAGGCATATTAACATATTATAAATTTATGACATCTAATTTACTTGAGATGAAAGAAGTTGTTCATTCATAACGCAGTGGTAGCTTGGTAGGTAGCCTCTCAAAATTCCCCCTTGTTGAAAAATCACTGGGGGAGGACAAAAATGTTCAGAGGCTGAAGCAGGGACATGGGAAGAAAGGAAGAATGGAGGGGCATTTTCATAGTTCTTTAGGATTTCTACACTGTCACTGTTTTTTACAACAGAAAATTCCTGTTCCTCCTTGCTCCTCTTCTAAGAGGTGCCTTCAAATGACGAACTTGTGACTGGCTTGTCTTATCACCGTGAAAAAGTTAGGATAAAAACATAAAGAAAGGATCTTATATGCAGGTCTCCCTGAATCTTTGTACAATTAAATGTGTCCAGTGTCCTTAGCAAAGCCAGGATATTACTTAAATGTATTGTTTTATTTATGCCTCTATGAGTCACACACTGGACTTATACTCATGCTAAACCTCAAAATTAAGTAAGTATATTCATTTTGCTATGCTTCTTTGGGAAGATGTCTATACATTTATTCAACAGTAAGTAGCATTTTAACTTAAAAAGGATTTATTTTTGTCATTTTAAAATTATGTGTGTGTGTTTGTGTCCACAGATGCCCTTGGAGGTCAAAGATGTTGGATTTCCCTGGAGCTGGGGTTACAGACAGTTGTGTGCCACCTAACACGGGGGCTGGAACCAAACTTGGGTCCTTCGCAAGAACAATACTCACACCTAACCACTGAGCCATCTCTTCAGCCCTGCACTTTAAATTTTGATATAGTGTGATATGATATAGTGTGTTATGATATAGTGTGTTATTGAAAGTAGAAAAAGATGTGGAAAATAAGGAGAAAATGGATGGAAACAAGAGAATAAAGGGAAATGAAGAAAAGAATGGTGTAGAGTTGAAAGGCTGGAAGACAGACAACAGTTCCAGATTCTTCTTGTCACACCATCAGGAAACACTGGGTACTCTTAGTGTTGTGTTTCCTTATCCAGTGCACATTTGAGGAACAGTTATTTTTACGTCCTTGGCTCACAACATGGAACCAGTCAGACAAAGATGCTGGATTTGTCAGTTACAGCCTTCTCAGCATCTTCTTCCTGTTCTAACATCCCAGTGCTCCTCACAAAACCTGCGTGGTTTATTTTGAGACAGTCTTCTGTCCTGCCTGTACTTCACTGCAGGGGCTACACTTGGAAATCATGTATTAAGACTGGCCATCCACAGCAGGAGTTAGGCATCTACATGCTCTAGGAGAATCACATAGATATGAAATGTGCCACATACCATATACTTAATTGTGATGGGCATTTTGACAAGCTGGCACTTAAAGGCATTTAATTAAAAATTTCTCTCTCTATTTCTTGCTTTCTCTCCCTCAGAACAAACAACAGGAGGGTTAAATAAGTCACACCTATGGAGTGACTTCACTCATGGGCCATCAGTTTGGGGCACCTGATATAAACCATTACTCAATGTTCCTAACATGATAGTATCAATCCCGTCTAATCATCAACTTTCCAGGGTTAGCTATTGTCAGAGTGGTAGGTTTGAAATTTCCTGAAATTGCTATTTTGGCATTAATTTCAACTGAAGTTCAAGTTCAATTTCTAGAGAAGACTGTTGAATAGATCATGTGGACATAATCAGCTTCTCTGATTGACAGATAAGACTTTAAATTTTGTTCATTATTATTCTGATTTATACAGTGTTGTCCACGGGAGTCAACAATAGCCCCAGTAACTGCCTTCCCTACTCTGACTCTATACTTACTCTCAGTCAAGGGGAAAAGGTCCTTTCTCAAAGGGCCTCTCTCTCTTTGCAGGGAGCTATACGTATGAACATTTACTCTTACATAAGGGTTAAAATTAGTGTGTTTGAAGGTCCAGACAGAAGTATGCATTGTGGTGGGGTGGCTGGAATCTGTCAAACATATAAAGCAATCCAGGTTTCCCCTTACTACTGCTGGAGCCGATTTCCATTTTTGTCTCTGCTGGCCAGGGTTTCATGACCTGGGACAGGGTACATCTGCCTGTCTCAGAGGTCATGGTGTTCTGGATAGGATCCTCAGAGTAGCAGGGGCACTATTTATAAATACACATGGTGACCACATACTATTTCACAGCTGTTGTCTTGTCAATATTTACCCTAAGTGATAGATGATATTTGGTTACTGTTTACCGCTAAACAAGCTGTTTCTTTTTGCTTTTAAAATAAGCTTCACAAGGAAAGTCCACTCCAAACATCTAAAAGTTACTTTTCCTGGTTGTTAGTAAGAATTGATTAAAGAACATGCACTTCAAACTTCACAATCTCAGAGTTTATGACCTGCTTCGGCCTGGAATTATGAAAGGTTTGGGCCGAATATTGTGCTTGTGTTCAAAGTAGTTCACATCCTGTAAAAACAAAGGGTTAAAAAAAAGTCCTCAGTGGAAGATTAATCCTTGGAGGATAAAATTGAATGAATGATAATTGTACAGAAAGATTATTTACCACCAAATATTACATGACTAAGTGGGGTGGTGATGGAACCAGAGATTTCTTCTTTTTCACCATGCAGTCACTAAATATTCAGGAACTGGCTGATTGAGGTTCAGAACAGTTAGAACCATGTTCTAGATGCTTGTCTTTGAAAATAAAAATCTGATAGTGCCTTCAAGAAAGTAAAAAGAAAGCCACAAGAGCTGGACTCTTGCAAAGAAAAAGAACCATACTACGAAGAAGACGGTGGCCAGACCTGAGAATCCATACTTACTTTTGAGGTGAACTGGGGATGAGACCCCGCAGTTGTCCATGCAGCGCATCTTGGATATTGCTAGCTGAATAGAGCCCAATGGGTGAGTTATAGGAAGCGCTCACTACCTGTCTTTTGTCATCAATGTTTGCTGCTGCAACGAAAGGCTGGGCCCTTCTGTTGTGCGCGGTACCAATGGGTTTGAATTCCTGTACATGGCAGACAAAATACACAGCCACAGAACGCACAACAAAGCCGTTAATGAGCAAAACCGACAGCGTTGCTGTTTTTAAGGCATCATTACCTACTACAGGATTAGCAGAAAGGTTAAAGGAGGAGTTAGGGTACATCTTCCTACCATTTCTATGAAATTTACATATACTATACTATACTCACCTACCAAATGTTACAATGCTATGGATTTGACCTTGTTTATTATATCACAGTTCAAACACTGTTTCTCTTGCCTGCCCCCTACTGACTTCTTCACCAATTTCTTTTAAAAGATTCCAAAAAATTGTGTCAGAAATGATCATTTTTATGCTTGCCTTTAATCTTTGCCCTCAGGAGGCAGAGGCAGGCAAATCTCTGTGAGATTGAGGTCGGTCTGGTCACAAAGTGACTTCCACCTAGATTGAGATGAGGGAGACCCTGTCCAAAAAATAGATCATTTTTATTTAGAGAAAAATGATTCTACCACATATTTTATTTTCTAAAGTAGAGGTTACATATTCTTTCTTCTCCATTAATTTCAGCTTTTGTGTTACTGAGAGAGAACAGAACCCAAGGGCTACACAGATGAGGCAAGCATGTTACCATGATATCTTAAATAACTTTAATCCATTTAAGAAGGGGAAGAACAAAGTAATCAAAAGGTGAATAAGCATTTGTGAGTAACTATACCGAGGTTGTACTTAAAAGTAGCAAGAGCCGGGCATGGTTGCACATGCCTTTAATCCCAGCACTTGGGAGGCAGAGGCAGGTGGATCTCTGTGAGAAAAACGTCACCCTGGTCTTCGTAGAAAGGTCCAGGTCAGTTGGGGCCTCAGGAAAATCTTGTCTCAAGGCAAACAAAAGTAACAAGAATAAAAAATCCTTTTATGAAAGCAGGAATATCAGATTCCTTTGTGATAATTTCCCATGCATTTGAAGAACTGTCCATATGTGTGTCCATTTCTTGGAGGACAAAGATAAGGAAGTCAGAGTCAAGCAGTGCACATGATTCAATAAAGAGCTTTTCTTTGTTGACTGGGGAACAGCACCACACAGTAGAGTCCCAAACTCTGAGTTTAAAACATGCCTGAAAGATCTGAAACTCTATATTGTCTTTGTGTGTGTGTGTGTGTGTGTGAATAATGTTTTCTAGTTTTGAATTCATGAATAATTTTATAAAGCTATTAATTTTTTTGTCTTATGAGCAACAGGAGACACCAGTAGGGCATGCTAAAATACATGAGAGCTGATTCTCTTTGCAAACCTTTGTAGTTGCCAAAGTAGCAATATTAATCTTTACAACAGCATTTGTGCTCACGTTCACATCAGCTTTATTTACTTTTGTGACAGCGCCATCAGTGCTGCACACAGATTTGAAACAATTATTTGAAATGTTATCTGAATTTTTTTCAATAAAAAGTGATCATGCCTTTAGTATTTGTGTTGCCATCATTTTCTTCAGGTTGTTACAGATGGGTAAACTGGAGGATTGTGCATTTCTGTTAGGGGAGAAGCTGTGGAGAAGGAGGTCATGAGGACAGAACTAGAAGAGGAGGAAGTAGCAGAGAAGGGAACAAAGGAGAAGATGGGGAGGAAGAGGAAGAGAGGGACAAGGAGGCCAAAAAGGAGGAGGAGGAGGAGGGGAAAGTGAGGGAGGAAAGGAATGAAGGAGGGGTAATGAGCGGAGGGGAGGAGGAGGATAAGGAAGATAAGAAGGAGAAGGGGAGGATGAGGAGAGGGTGAGTGAGGATGAGGAGGAAACACTAAAGCAAAGAGACCATCTTTCTATTAGAGGTGGAACTGGGGCTTTTCATAGAGCCTCTTGTGCCCGAGACTGTGAATAGCTTCCTGCAGAGACCTAAGATGCAATAATACTTTCATTTTGTTCTCCTGAGCAGGTAGTCCTCACACAAACTCTTGTCTTTCCCATATAGGCCTACTGACCACATTAAAAACAGTTACGACAGGGAAAATGGGGTACAGCTTCAACTGCTAGCTCACTGTGTCAATTCTCCATCTGTCCCCAATGTCATGACATCAGAACATCTGTGATGATATGAGAGACCGGGTCTGTCACCTCAGTCTGGGACAAACATGTTGTCTCCTGAAGCTTAGAAGATTTAAGCTTAATACAATTTAGCCTATCATCCTATAGTGTGATTGAATTGACTAATACCTTGTTCATTTAATTTTTTTCCTTTACAAAAATGGCTGGCTGCTGAGGAGTTGGCTGGATGACATTTTTGGTGCTTCCACTAGGAAGCAGGATGACTGAACAACCAAAGGCACCTTTAGAAATTCCCGTTTTGAATCCCACAACATGTAAAAATGTGTATGACCAAACATTTACACAGTGGTGTAAAATCTGATTGTGTTAGCTGATCTCATAATGAATTGGAACTGGCTGTTCATGATTACCATTATGACTAACTGTTATCATGGCTTGAAAAGAGTGGACTGGAAATAATTGTAAGTAATGACAGTGGTCATGGTTTGAGTCTTTGTAACTCTCTTTGATATGAAAGAAGACAGAGGCTAATTGCCTAATTTAGCTTTGGAAGAGCATAAGTCTTTGGGGCTGATTATGGAGCGAATCAAGCAAGACCAAACCACTGAAGCCTTGTGGATGGAACCTAGATGATTTCTCATAACAAAGTATGAAATGTCTTAAGACATGATTAGTTTAGCAACTATGGTGGACTGATTGGAAAAAAGTTTCTACCCTAATACTGTGTTTCTTAACCTTAAAATGATGAATAAACATGGATGGTGATAGTCATATAAATGAAGTATTTTATCTGAAAATATTTGTGTATTAATCTTCAGAGGGACTTCTTTTTTAAATATTTTATTTATTATTTTTATTTTATGTGTATGAGTGTATTGTCTGCATGTATGTTAGTGCACCCATGTTATACAATGTCTGTGGAGGTCTAAAGGAGGCATCAGATCACCTACTATAACTGGAATTACAGATGGTTGTTAGCCACCATGTGGGTGCTGGGAACTGAATCTGGGTCCTCTGCAAGAGCAGCCAGTGCTCTAACCACGGAGCCATCTCTCCAGCCCAGAGAAACTTCTTTTGAGATTTTAAATTTATCGTGTGTGTCTGCAGGTACCGTACAGAGGCCAGAAAAAGGTGTCAGATCCTCTGGAGCTGGAGTTACAGTTTCTTGTGAGTCACCCAACATAGGCCCTAAGAACCAAACTCAGGTCCTCTGGAAGAACACCAGGTGCTTTTAACCACTGGGACATTTCTCAAGTTCCCCCCAAGGAGCATTTCTAAACTGCATTATGTAAGTTAACCAGCTCCAAACCTTTTCCCTGTGATTTTCAGTTTAGGTTCTACAACCATATATATATATATACATATATAAATGTAATTGGTTACAAGAAAAATCCCTCTATTTTCTACCCAGATAATAAAAGGAAGTCTTGGGGCTGGAGAGATGGCTCAGCGGTTAAGAGCACTGACTGCTTTTACAGAGGACCCTGGTTGGATTCCCAGCACCCAACATAGTAGTTAACAACCATCCACAACTCTAGTCCCAGGGGATCTGATGTCTTCTGACTTCAGTGGGCATTGTAGGACATGAGTGCACTTACACACCTGCAGGCAATACACTCATACACATAAAAAATAATAAAATATTAAAAGAGGAAGTCTTTCTAGTATAGGCTTAAGGCATTTTTGTTTAGGCTTTGCAAAGCATTAGCTTACTGGCTTCTGCGATCATTTCCAAGAGCACAATGAAGTGTATCCATCAAAGGTAAACAAGCGCTTTAATGATGGCACCGAGAATCAGCATTTTGTCCAAGTCTTACATCATTGTTGATAGTCATATAGAACCAAAAGATAAAACCAATTAGATGCTCACTATTTTGCATTAATTGTGCTTTTACTTTTCTTGGTAAGGCATGTGTAACACAAAATGTCAATAAAAAATTTTATAAAGCAGTTAATTAGTTCAGCTCTTGTGTTTGTTTTACCCAGGCAAAACCATCAAATAATTCTTATCCTATCAAAAAGTAATCATTCAAATTAATTACAGCTTCAAATATAATTGTTAAATGTTAGGGGATTAAGAAATAATACATATTATTATATATTATAAGATATTATTATACTAAGAAAGAGTAGTTTGAATGAGTGAAATGCTAGAGCAGCCAGGGGAAAGCTTTGGATCTGATGGGTCATCACTGGCATGGAAAAATGGCGCTCTTGACCGTCCTTGAAATGACCTCAGCAAGGACAACACTCAAAGACAGTTTACCTTCAATTTCTTACTTGATGACATTGTTCACAGATAAAGGGTCAGGCCATCACCATCTTATTGGAGCCGAACACCTGACTCATATACTTTGTTTCTCTTACTTCCCTACTGTTTTAGACACTTTTCATATGACATGGTGGGGAAATAAGAACAAATGATATTTGAGCAAATATATGATAAAGTCCCAGTGAAGCAATGAATCTGTCACATCATGTTTGAAGTTTATGAATAGCTATCCTCTCATGCTCACCCTTGGGAATGGAAAACAAAGTTATTCTTTTTTTTAAAAAAATTTTAATTATTTTTATTTTATGTGTATGTGTGTATTGCCTGCATGTAGGTAAGTGCACCTGTGTCATGCAATGCCTGAGGAGGTTAGAAGAGGCTGTAGGATCCCCTGGGACTGGAGTTACCGACAGTTGTTAGTGGCCATGTAGGTGCTGGGATTCCAAACCAGGTCTTCTGCAAGAACAACCAGTGTTCTTAACCTCTGAGCCATCATTCCAGCCCCTGAAGTCACTCTTAAAATCATTGCTTTCCTTTAGCAATTGGCTTCAAGTGTTCCCATATCTCATTAAAGGAGAGTTTGGGGAAATGGTGATTATGAAGTTTGTTTTGTATAGGTCTCCTTCTAGTTATCAAAGTAATGTAGATTAAAGTTTATTTTATGAAAATACACTATGACTATACATGTAAGTACATCTTTAATATAAAATCTATGGCAAGGACGTAGTCCTTTACGCTCAGAGAAGAACCATTTTTGTTTCTGAAGCATTTTTCCTCCTGTGATGGGTATAATGTATCTTTGAGTTATTCACCTGACTTTAAGCAAGGATGAAAGTGATGGTTTAGTGGAGATAGGAAGCTTTGAAGAAGGAACAGTCTGCAGATGCCTTGTTTAGAAAAATGCTGGAGACTACTCACAGACTGTCAGGATCATAAAGGAATGGATTCATTCAGTTGCCGAGAATTGATCTGAACAACTTCTAAGATCTTTTTGAAGGCTAAGACTCAAATCTTAATACATAAAACCAAGACTTAACTATTTACTGATAGCATGGAAAGATTTAAAAAATTGAGCTATTAAAATTTTATATTAATTATTATTTCAACTGTGTAAGAAAAATCTTCTAAATCTAAACCTATGCATATGAAAAACCACCAGAAATATATATGTATATTAATGTATATTATTTGGGACTAGATAATGGGATAATAGCATCTCACTTTCAGTGAGAAGATAGTATTTTTTAAATGAATAAGAGCATTTTGCCCCACAGCAAAAATTGTAATGCTATAAAAACCTGACTTGGGTTGAGAAGAAAGAACTCAAATTTTCTATTGTTCATTGGCGTTTTACAGTTTTTCTCCAATGGCATTTTAAAGCACTTTGCTGACGTCTGTTTCTGCAGCTGACAGTCTTGCTTTCTGGAAGACTGTTCTATCTGTACCACACTCATTGAGAGGGAGGGGGAAGTAAATCTTTTTGTATAGCATTGTATTACTTGAAACAATTAGTGTTTTCTCCAAATGGTTTATAATGCAAAGGTCACAAATTTCTACTTTGTTAGAAGAAAATCTCTTTGTGTTCTAACTAGGATTCTCAGATGGCAGGGTAACATTGAAATGTAACTGTATTGTGTACTGCCTGTGCTCTGTGAACTGCCCATGCAGGAATCTGTCCCAAGAGTGTCATAAGGGGAAATCCTTTCATCCATTAGGAGAACTGAAATTGTTCTTATCGCTGAGCTGAGCCTGTCAAACACTGGCCTCTTAGAGAGGATGCCAGTAAGAATTAGGCATGACTCAAACTATTGGAATTCTGAAAGTCTCCGTATGAATGACTGCTATAGTTCTTAGCCTAATTGGCACCTTTTTTATTTTTATTTTTCAAAAGAAGTTCATTTCCTTTTCCCTATTTCTAGCTTCATAAATATTTGTATTTTCAGCCAGGCATGGTGGCTTTAATCCCAGCATCTGGAGGCAGAGGCAGGTGGATCTCTGTGAGTTCAAGGCCAGCCTGATCTACATAGCAAGTTCCAAGCCAGCTGGGGCTGCAGGGAGACCATGTCTCAAAAAGATAAAACAAAAAATTCGTGTTTTCTAAACTTTGCATTCAAGACATCTGGGTTAATAAAATGATTAGCAAGAAGCGAGAATACTTAGAATTATACCTTAAAGGCCAATTCTTACAATAATCATAATCATAAATCGATGCTTATAGATTTGAGAGATAGCACTTCTCCAGTTCCAGCTCAGGCCTTATGACTGAGCTTCAGTTCCGAAAAGATGGCACCAAAACAGATGCCCATCAGTCATCTCTTGGATTAATAAATCCTTGCTGGGATGGGAGAGGCAACTGCATGTGACTAAAGATCATTGGATTTGGCCCTTTGATCAAATATATCTAGTTACCCTGGACCTTATGCCTCGTATTGTGAGTTAGTTTTACAATCAAGGAGAAGTGGAGAAGTGACTTGTGAAAGGGTGCAGTGCAATTTTGTATGTGCTGTGTATGGACCAAGAAGTGGGGAAATTTCATCCAGTTGGTTCTAGAGATTCCAAGAGTTTGGATAGTGAACTGATACACAGACAAGGGCTTCAGAGTTACTTTTTAAAAAGTACCCCACAGTCTCTTTTTTTCTCTGTTTCACCCCTAAACAATCAATCAGTGTGGGGCGAAGTGAGTAGGTGTGTACTTTACTGAGAAGGGTTATATGTAAGTGGTAGCTTTGCATCTAGAACTTTCATTTTTTCCCCCCATTTTTTTGTAGCAAAGCAAATGCTGATTAGAAGTTACTATTCACCAACCCACCTAACACGCTAGGGTGACCCACCCTAAGCGTTCAAATCCCTTTCACTCTGTTTACATGCTGAACATCTCTAATCCAAAAATCAGATTTAGATCCCTTTGGTAAAGTATCTTAGTATATATGTACAAACGTTTCCAAATTAAAAGAATCTGAACTGTAAAACTTGTGGCCCTAAACATTTCAGATGAGAGAGAGAGCCAACCTGTCTTACCTCTCCCTTCCATGTCATCAGTTGCTCCCTCACTCTGAAGAATCAAAGTTTCATCTGACCTAAGCATCCCAATCAACTTCCAAGATCACACTCACAATCTAACATATGAAGGTGGTGGGTGTTCTGAGAACAGGTTCCCAGGGCTGGACCTGGTCATTTCCTTGCATGTGGATCAGGGAGGGGGTTGTATTTTGACTAAATATAAAGCCTTATAGAGCATAATTTATAATACCAATGAGGAAATAGAACAGCAAGGAGGAAGGGAATCTTTTATATAATGTGGTGGTGATGGGGCTAGAAAGCCCTATCGTGTAAGAGGTAAATAGTGTGAGAGTCAAGGCAGCTTTTGAATCACAGTGTGGGAGTTGGGGGGGCATCCCTAATCATGAGGATTATGATTGTTTGACTAGCTGTAGATCTTTGCTTATATAATTTGATTTAAATCTTTGAATAATCCTATGAGATATTTGTACTCAAAGGGCTTCTTCTGTTTCATGGTCCTGAAAAAGGGAACAGTACTGAAGTGTGAATTATAAACCTATTCTCAGATAATCTTATTATGTATACAGAAGGGCAGCAGTCAAGGAATATCCATCAGTTTAGTAGGAAAGCTTGCTTCAAAAAGGATATTAAACATACATCTTTTCATCTCTAAACCTGGGCAGCTTCTAAGGAGAGGTTCTAAAACCCTACTCTTAATTAGATTTTTCAGTGTTTCATAATTGAGGTTTGATTAGATTTCAGCTTTTTGGGGGGATTTTCTGAAAGTACACATAGCCAGATAATCATCAGTTTATTAGATTCATGTATCTCATGAGACAGGGTTGCCTCAAGGGAGAAATCCTTTATCTTTTCTAATTCAGCTACATGGGCAGAATATCCCCATAAGATAATTCAATTTTTTGTAAGGTAAATTTAATTATAGAATGCCAGAACTGAAAATTAAAGAAGGATGTAAAATAAGATCTGTGCAAAGACCTTGAAGGATTGAAGCTCATAATGACTACTGGATTAGAGACACCTGTTCCGAATGGTAAAGCTTGTTTTGCTTTATTTTAACAACTTAAACTTTTTAGATTACCTCATGGCCATTTGGCAGAAGTCTATTATTAGAAGTGAAAAAAAAGTAGTCTCTATGCAGATTTAGTTGAATTGTTTCCAGTGAGAATATGCTCGTGTGACGTGGTTTCACTATGTAGGCCTGGCTGGCCTGAAATGTTCTGTCTATTCCAGATTGGCCTCAAATTTGCAGCAATCCTCCTGCCTCCACCTCTCAAGGGCTGGGATTACAGACATGTACCAATATGCCAGGCAGAGAATGTACTCATCTTTTTACAAGGTATTTGCATAGGCATTCTCTGCTTTTTTTTTTTCTTGATGTAAGAAAACATGAATTACATAAGTTAACCTCATAGAGTAGTGACCGACCACTGCATCATCAGGTGCCTTGCTTCCATTTTTATATTTGCCATTTTTTCCTCTGGGAACCCTCCCAACTCCCCCTGCCCTCTGCAAAGGAAATACAATGAGAATATCATTTACTTTGAGTTCTTACCTGTGGTTCTGCTTCTAAGTTGATTTTGAAAGGATGTGCTTTCCCATCCTCAGATACCTGTGGAGACCATAAGTGAGTTTCCGCCCTGCAAATAAAGCAGAGTTTGCAAACCTCAAATCCAAATGGCACTTCTGTCTTTAATATACTTTAATTTCCCATTATGTTTGCGAAAATACTAGCAACCCTCACTAATTGAAGCAAAAAGACTATTTGAAATTATTATTCTGTAATTTCCCGTCTATTCAGTCTTAAGTTTTTATGTCCTTTTGAAGAATCTAGAACAGATTAAGACGGCCTGGAACTCACTGTGTAATTTCTTGAGAAGGCAGGTCTGCAGACACCTGGAGGCAAGCTCTTTAGGTCTCCCCTTCTTCCCTCCTCTCCTACAGGGGCCACAACAGGAGTCAGGGAGGGATTGGTCTGACTGCTGAACTACTGACATCCAAGAACTATGTTCTCATGCATCTGTCTGGGCCCCTGTGGCTCCTGGAGATGTGTACTGTCTGAAGCACAGGTTATGCACACACAGGAAAGAATCTATTTTACTTCATGAAATTGGTGAATGGGCTAATGGCCTCGTGCACTGTTGGAGTCGATCACGAATACAACAGCAACAAGACAATCGCATGTGAACAACCACTAAAACCAACCATTATTTCATTATTTTCAGTTTCACATCAAGGTTCTAACGACAAGAAATTGGGTTTCAATTTCTACTTTAGGAGGCAGACTAGAAATATTTCGGTGTTTAACATAACCAGGCGCACAGGTATTCTTCACACTTTGTAGTGGTCTCTTGGGCTGAATTCTGTATGAAATAGCCAACAGTATAAAGGATATTAATAATCAAATTTAACATGGTCACATTTTGATAAATCAAGAGATTCTTTGAAGGTTAGCTCTCTGTTCCATTCTCATATGTTCCATTCGATTCCTATCACACTGAGATATGGACAACTGTTTATTCTGCCCAGTGTCTCCATGGCTATACTATTTTCATAATCAATTCACTGGACCACCACAAGAAGAAAACATTCATCTGCACCTTTTTATTATTTTGACATTCCAGAGAATTCTTTTTGAAAATGATTCATCCACAAATACCAGGACTGACTGACTTTAGTGAAGATCAGAAAAAAGCACACAAAAAAAGCCAGCCACAATTCTAGGTCCTATGACTTCTCATTAGAGGGCTCAGACCATTTATAGCTCTGGTTCAGGTTCTCCTGCAAAACAGATCAAATTTTAATGCAATTAGCTAAGACACACCTGTCAATCTTGAGGCACAGCTGGTGTGCTGCTGCTTTAATCCTGTCCTGTGCATCAGCATGAGTCATGGACTCTGTACCGAAGCCATCGATAGCCAGGATAACATCTCCAGGACACAGGTTGGCAGCTGCTGCCTTGCTTCCTGGGGTTACCTGGAAGAAATCAAGACACCATTTATAAACCAAAATCCAGAAGCTTCTTGTCTTTCATATTAAATATTTTTACTTTAGTTTGGCAACTTTTTGATTCTGGTCTTTTTGAGACTGGGTCTCCCTGTAGTCCCAGCAGGCCTGAAACTCATTATGTAGACCAGACTAGCCTTGAACTCACAGAGATCCGCCTGCCTCTGCCTCCTGAGTACTGGGATTAATGGTGTATGCTACCACACCTGGCTCTTGCTTGACAACTTTTTAAATGTTTTACTGGGAGGGAAATCTTAAAGCTAACTTAAAATAACTCTTAGTTGATCAGTTGTGTTAGTTATATTTTATCATGTGAAATATTTTTTTTTCATACTAATCATTTTTTATCTGACTCTCTTTTAAGATGTTTTCTGTAACTATCTCTTTGAATTATATTTTCTCTGTTTTAATTTTTAGACCTTTTTGTTATTGTGATCCAGAATTTCTTATTTGGAAATAGTTTTTCTACATTTTAGCAACTTTGGAATTGAGATTTATTTTTATTTGTGAGTTAGTCAGCAGTCTAGTGCCCTCATCAATGAGATTAGCACCCTTATAAACAGACCTTCAAAAAAATAAAAATAAAAAAGATCTTTGTTGTTTCTCTGCCATTTCTTGGAGTACAAGAAGTTGGTCACCTGAAACCTGGAAGCGGCCCTTCCAAGGACCCAGCCATGCTGGTGCCCTGATTCCAGATTTCTAGCTTTTAGAACAGTCAAAAATGACTTTGGTTGTTGATAAGTCACCCAGCCTCCCATAGTTTACTATAACAGATTAAACTAAGAGCATTTAAGATATAAAAGTATGGAGAAGGAGTTACTCTTGTTCTAATAAGGAGACGCTTAATAATATAAGCATTCATAACTTTTCAGAAAACTAAAGTCACAGGGCAGAAAACCAGAAATTCGAAGAAAGAGAGGTGCCTTGAAGGAAGAGAAAGACCATGCCTGAGCATGGACCATCCGTGACAGAGCATGGAGAAGTGGCCATCATAATAGCCATTAAGAAACTTAGCTAAAATAACACATTGCTAATGGTTTGGTGAGGGTTACCATGAGTGTAAGAGTGTACCCCTGGGAACCAATGACACAAAGGAAGTCTACATTCACCCATAATCTTTGATCCATGAATGAAGAACAAATGGAGTAAACAGAAAACATCTTCCAAGACAGCAGGTTTTAATTAAATCAAATCAGTAACTACATTAAATATAAATGAATGTGATGGTTTGAATGAAAATGTCCCCCATAGGCTCCAAGTATTTGAACATTTTGTCCCCACATTGTGGCACTGTTTTGGGAGGTTTTAGAAGGTGTGTCTATCCTGGAGGAAGCATGTCACTGGGAGTGGGCTTACAGAGTTCTTAAGCCTTGCCAGGTCTCCAGTTGCTCTCTTGTTTCCTGTGCCTGTGTGGTGATGTGAGAGCTTAGCTTCTGCTGCTCCCCACCTCCAGCCGCCATGCCTCCCTGCCATGATGGACTGTAATTCCCTTGGAACCATAAGCTCAAATAAAACTCTTCCTTCTATAACTTGCTTGGGTCAGTGTTTCTATCACAGCAACAGAAAAGTGACTAATACAATGATCTAGACATACCATTTAAAAAGCAGAGATTTTGAAACGAAGTAAAAAAGCAAAATTCAAATTTTTGCTGTGCACAAGACATGCCATGTCTTGTAGGGGAAATGAAAGGAATTCTTACTTCAGGGTATAGAAAAATATCATTTACCATATTTTAAAATGCTTAGAAATAGAAAAATGTAGGATACTAGTATGTTGACTAACCAGTTAAAATCAATGATTGTTTTAATTATCATTCCTAGTCTCACTTTTTCTGGCTACGTCCTAACTATTTACTGCTGCCTGGTCCTTACCTGGATCTCTCCCTGGCTAACTGTCCAATCATCTGACATCCCTGCTCTCCTTTATCCAAGATGTACTGGCCATTCTGATTTCCTTTTAGTTCTTCAAGTAGACCAATTGTGTATCCACTTTATGGTTTTACATGAAAAGTTATTTATGCCTTACATGCTCCCCTATTCCTCACCCGTTGGCTCCATCTTATCCTTCAGGTCTAGGAGCAAGGGATGCATTTTTAGAGACTCCCCTAAACTTCTGAAGAGGCTTCTTTTGTCCCTACTCCCCTTATTATTTATCTTTATCCCATTATTTACTTCAAGAAGATTACTTGTAATTTTGTATTTGGTTCACTTATTTGTGCATTGTCTATCTTCTTGACTAGACTGGAAGGTTATGGGGTAGATGGTCTCTGACTTATGATTTGACTTGTCAATTTTCACCTTTACCATGGTGTGAAAGATATATACATACTGGAAGAATCATACTTTGGATCTTTTCCTGGGCTAATGATTTATAGTACAGCACCCTCTTATGATGCAAAGTCACAGTTCCTTGTCAGGCCCATGATTACCAGGGTAAACAACAAACACTATGTTGGTAAGCTATGGGTTGGGTGGATTAAGTCCATCAAAGAGGGTTTTCAATTTACAATGTTTTCAACTTTTGATGGTATCATCATAGGCTAAGGAACACTGTATTTCTAATGTTTCTCAGTGTATTTTCCAGTGTTCAGGATTAATAAATGAAAAACTAAAGAATGAATGAAAACTTAATTTGAATCAGAGTTTATGAAACAAAAAGGGCTGACCCCAAAATTAAGTGAATTTTTTTGTGTATAAGCAATTATTTGTGTGTGTGTATGTGTGTGTGTGTGTGTGTGTGTGTGAGTGTGTGAAAATGCCCATGTGTGCACTGAGTTCGGAGGAGGATTTCAGCTGTCTTCTTTACCTACTTGCTTCCTTAGCTCCATCTTACTCCCTTGAGACAGGATCTCTCACTGAACCTGGAGCATGTTGTTTTTCAGCTAGACTGCCCTAGTGACTCTCCTATTATACAACTTCTTAGTTCTGGGGTTTCAGGCACAGTCATGCCTGAATTTCTGCATGGGTCCTAAAGCTTGTGCATCAGATGCTCTTCCCATGGAGCCATATCTCTAGACCAGAGCACGTATATTAGTGTGAATTTATCATTGTTTTGTTTGGAAATGCATAATTTTAGATGAGAATTATACATAAGTCTTAATTTAAACCTCAAATTGTTTCAGGAATAAACTGTTATTGTTCATAATACTTTTGGATCAGTCATTAATTCATATTTCTCTATTTGCTTGTTCTATCTATTCTATTTAATTTTGTGCCTCTAAGAGAGATCCAACTTCATCTAAACAAATAAAATTGCTAAAATATTAAGTTCTCCTGTGTAGATCTCCAGCTTCATTGCTAGAATGTTTTTGTTTCTACTTGGTTAGCCTCTGTGACCATCTCACTGTAGTGATCAAGATTTTCCAGTGAGAACAGTTAATAGAAATTGGGTGAAGACAACAAAGGATTATTACAGCTTAGCTTTTGGGAGATATTTCATAGCTGTTTTCCACTTAGAAGTTCTCCCAGACCAAGGCCTATTAGAACAGTTTCTATCCACAATGACCCTTGTAGGGATAAAAATAATCTTAAACTTTTCATTTTTCTCTCAGTATAGAATGTCAAAGTTAGTACTTTCTATTTTTAATATTGTAATACCAGAATGTTTTCTTTGAGTTAAAACATTGAGGCTTAATGTGCTAGGTTGTAAAGTTACTCTTAGATTTAGTAATAGACTTGAATGTACTTAAGTTATAGAATACCCAGTCCTGATTTGGAAAACCTTGAATTTTCTTCTGTTTTTAGTTCTGGTTATGATGAGTGGAAAATAGGGCTGGGGGTACACATGTCCATACACATTTTAGGTAGGCATCAGAACTTAAATGTTGAATATCTAGGTGATAGATATTGAATTTATATATTGAATAGCTATTGAATATCTAAGATACTAAAAAGTAGTAAAATTTATTAAATCAATACTAAAGTTAAGAAGGTCATATTATCTTTCTACAAAATGCTACATTAAAAAACTGTTTCTCATATCTTGTATTGTTTCTGAAATAAGAAGACTGCTTCTGTTTTTCCAAGAAAGGGAAGTATCTAAGTAACCCATGGCTTCCCTGTAAACTGAGAGCAGCTATGTAACTATGCCACCAGGTACTTTAGAAGCTGTTCTGGTTAGCTTTAACTGTCAACTTGAGACAGCCTGAGTCACTGAGAGAAGACCCTCAAATGAGGAATTTCCTAGATAAAACTTGTCTGTGGGGGACTGTCTTGATTGTTAGAATGTTAGAAGGCCCAGCTGACTATGTACAGTACCCTTTCTAGGCAAGTAATCCTGAACTATTCAAGAAAATTAGCTGAGTATAAGTTGGCCTGTAAGCCAACTAGCAAGCAGCATTGACTGTGAAGTGAGTTCCTTGGCAAGAGATGTGGAATTGCAGCAGGCCCACCTTGAGTTCCTCCCTACTTCCCTCCATGATGGATATGATCTGGAATCACAAGCTGAAATAAACCTTTTCCTTCCCTAAGTTGCTTTTTGTCAGAGTGTTTTATCACAACAACAGAGATGAAACTAGAACAGAAGCCAGCTAGGGAGTGTGGCTAGTGATGGCCAGAACCTGCTTTTGATTTTGTATTCAACATGGTAAATGCTGTTTTTGGTCTTCCACAGAGGGATGGGTTAGGAAGAAAAACAGATGCAGAGAGAGGGTTGGTGGAGGAGGAGAAAATATGAAGCCTTTACTCTTCTTAGATTTCTAGTTTAGCAAGGTTGATGGCTAGAAAATGACTGCTAACTTGACTAAACTTTAGCAAGTTAAACTATTTATTGAGGTATAGAATCTATTTTCCATGATACTTAATGCTGTTGCTTTAGTATGGTGGTGGTTTGAATGAGGAACGTTCCCCATAGGCTCCAGGTATTTGAACACTTTGTCCCCAATTGGTAGTGCTATTTTGGGAGATTTAGGAGGTGTGTCCTTGCTGGAGGAAGCAAGTAACTGGGGGTAGGCTTTGAGAATTCTCAGCTC